AAACACAGCGAATTAAAGTTCTTCACTTCATCGTAGTGACCTTCCTATCCATATTCTTATCGGAACATCGCGTATCAACGGCTCGTAATACCACACCGACTGAAGAGACGTCAAACATGACCAAGCCTCTGAGTACTGCATTTTACAATCATAACTACAGCATAGGCATCTCAAAACCTATCACTCGAGGCAGCGAACCCAAAGGGGTTATAAGTATTACCGTTTATTAGGGTCAACTTCACTCTTAGCAGAGAGGCGTCGCTGCTCAGACTCTTGCCAGGAATAATAGCAGTTGTTGCAGTGAAACCTGAAGCGGTTAATAATAAACCCATAAGTAGGATAAGGACTGAGCGACGATGTTATAACAACACTAGTTCACATCTCTGACAGTATACAGCGTATACCAACACTTCCTATAGGAGTGAGCCAACGAGTCGTGAACTGGACGTCAGTACTGCCAAGCATATTTCGCGCCCAGACAAACCAAATAGAAATTGACACTAATTGACAAAGTTATCCTTTTATGGAGGACGGAAGAGTTACCAGAATCCACACCGAGTAGTGCTGTATAACCGTCGGAAGATTATTCCTTGTGTGAACACCTTCAATGCAAGTACATCTAGATTTTTTCTGGAAATTCGTAATTTACTTCTGTTCAGAATATACACGGCATCGACGAATTCCCGAGTGTCCAACAACTTCATAATGGAACTACGAATACCGAGAGTTATTTCCAATTATTCGCCAAGTTTTACAAGATTAGATATTTAGTTACTATTATATTTAATATTTCCAATATTTAATTACGTTTTAGATACCACAAAGATTAACCTTTTCCCACCAATTGAATAGAGTTTCACCCGTTTTACGTGAAGTGGCGGAATACTAGGTGGAAAAGGCGAGTAAAATATGTTTTTACTAGTGTTTTTCATATCACTAGGGTGGTGAAGCTCTAATGTGAGAAGTGGTTGTCAACGTCCCAAGTAGTACAGTATCCCTGTTCCTGGTTCATGTACTTCAACTCCTTCATACAAAATGTCCATAAAGTAGAGACCGCATGTTGCACATACAGACATTATTCACGAACCACTGGAGCTTCTGGAATGAGGAACCGAACGCCACGGGTCACAGACGTTCATGAACGAGTCTAGACTATCGCGCGCGCCCACACAATCGATAATATTTACAATTCAGTGTTCCACACTGAAAACCAGGTCGTTGAGAAGTCACAAGAATGCAAGTGGCGTCGCAACGTGTTTGCGTAGGCGCAAACAAACCGTGTCACTAAACTTTGTGTCCTAAATCACTAAATTAGACGCGCGCGCCTCTGTAATCGATTTATGCGCGCCTAAGGTTGAGAAAAAGAACATCCTTCACACCGTTTCCAGGTGGATGGATAGACAAACATATAACTCGACTAACCGCTATTATTATATGCCGTGCAGGCCTTTCCCGCATGAGGTATGATGTTGCTATTACTACCCGCTACCGCTAGATTCCCCTCCGTCAACGTACGTGATATCTTTTGACGAGAAGAGAGAGAGATACGCCTACGTCGGAGAGGCTGCTCGAACCTTCCTCCACGCGAACGGTATCAACGCAAACTGGCTGAACAGTTGTTCGATTAAGTGGGTGAAAAATCTCGCGTGTCAAGACTTGAGACGGAGGTTATATCAACTGCTATTACTTGCCAGGTTCCACAAAGATCCAACAGGGTTAACGACACGTCAGAGAAAAAGTCTTCGAGAGGTCTGGCATCGGTATTCAGTCTTCTTTTTACCTACCGTGCTTCTTCTGCCGGAGAAATGCATTGTCGTGGATGCCAAGAAACTTTGATCATCTAATAATCAGGGGCTTAGGACCGATTACTTCTCTGTCAACCCGCAAACCAACAACTCAACTCGTAATGCGTCGATGAATTCACTTTCCACTCAATAATTCAGGTCAAAAGTTTCGCTGACAAGTCCCCAAGTTGAGCAATCAAGTGCAAGTACATCAAACATTCCACCACTCCTGTGGTCGACCGAAGCTCGAAAAGCCCATCAGCATCATTAATAAGTGATCTTCGATGAGTCATACTGTTCGAACTTCGAAGTATAGTGATCTGCATGGTGAATGATATAGTGTTGGGTTTTGCAGCTCAAAAAAAACTTGGAAGGTAAATCAAAATGTAGCTCACAAAACGAGAGTCGAGTTTGTCCAATGAGACATGGACTTGATACAGATCCGCCTGGCCCGCTGAACCCTCTTCGTTAGCTTGCTTCCCTTCGGGTTTTTGGTTCATCTGTTTCTCTTCGGGTTTCTGGCTCATCTGTTTCCCTTCGATTTTTGGTCCTTCGGTCTCTAACGCCGTTGAAACGAAGTCGCGCTATATATCGACTATAATGGCGCGCGCTGAAATTTAGTGATTTAGGACACAAAGTTTAGTGACAGTGTTTGGACACGCCGTTTGCGTACACGTTCATCGAGATACATAGCCTTTTAACCACCCGTCTGTGGTATTGAGTTGCTGGCATCTTGCCGCATAGTCTCCGTGTCCTCATCTCAACAACATCTACACGGAATTTTCTACCGGGATGAGCCAAAATAGTGACGACGAGCCCGTGATCAACGCCGCGCAAGTTATGGCCGAGCTGATTAACCCGGCATTGGATCAGCTGACACAAGCCATTGGTCAGCTCATAGAGCACCAGCAAGCGGCCAATAATTTGCTGCAGACCATGGCAGAGCAGCAGGCCGTAAAGGAGAGCGATGACAAGAAGGAGGATACTGAAGTTGAGCACGGCACGCACAAGGAAGAGCATATCTCACCCCAGGAGGAGAGAGTGCCCGTATCCATTCCAAGCTCCGACGAGAGGATCCCCAACAAGCCATTGAGCTGTGGGCCAAACTACGCTCCACCAACACTAGGAGGAGCAGGGTTATGCTCGGGATGCGGGCAGAACCCTTGCCCTACTCCCGTCTCCGACAGAGAACTGACGGATGCTCTGAAGGCGGTGAAGCTCCTCAAGGCCCCGGAAGGCGGCCCCTTCAAAGGCGTAGCCGATAACAGAACGGGCATCTCCTTTGAGAGGGAAATGAAGAAGTGTTGTGGTCGAATGTCAACGGTAGTGCTCTACCATTATCTATTGCGACATACAACCCAGTCGGCACAGGATTCGCTGGAGATTGGCGAACAATGGCCGACCAACTGTCATAGAGATTATGATGTGACAGTAGGGAAGGTCTGCACCAAGCTTCTGACAGTCTTCAGTAGTCAGGCGTCTTCTGAAGGGGTGCTTCAAACATGGAATGGTCTCCAACAGCAGCAAAATGAGAGCGTCGAGAACTTCATCTCCAAGGTCTTGACAATGACCACCGAACTTCGGCTCGCAGGCTTAGAACGACCAGAAAGGGAAGTTAAGGCTAAGCTTCGCTGTGGCTTAGCAGATCGAGACCTGCAGAGCAAGCTTCTCCAGCATTCCCGCCTAAGTCTGAGTGAATTCATGGAGAAAATGGTGGAAGAGATGATAGATCGAAGGAGGGGAAAGCTCTCTGGAGATCCTACATCAACACCCAACTCGGCGAGCACCACAACAACGACGACCACACCAACCAAGCGAGGTGGTCAGACTTCTATGGCACCTAAATTACCCCCACCCGTGATAGAGCTCGACGAGGTTCACCTGAATGGTATCAATGCTGGTCAATTACCGAGTGGAGCCCCGGGATGCGCGCGCGGTTGTGCCGACCCAACCTGTAGAGGGGTCCGTTATTGCGCATTGAAACAGCCAAACTTACCGGCGGAAGCCTGTACACGGTGTGGTCGCCGTCATGCACAAGATCAGACCTGTCCCGCAACCAATAATGTCTGTGCCCGTTGCAACCGAGGAGGTCACTTCGCGGCGGCTTGTCGCAGCGCCTCAGCCCTGAAACAGCATTCTCGCTCGACACGCCAATGGCAAGGCGATAAACGAGGACGGTCTCAACAACCAGTCAAGGAGGAGCTCAACGGCCATACTACATCAGGTCATGGTAAGGAGGATAAGCAGCAGAAGGTGTCAAATGCAGTCATAAATATTGACGACGTTCCCTCGGACGAGGACATCATGCCCGATATCTTTGCGTTGTCAACGACATCCCCCCCGACAGTTGATGAGACCGGAACCAAACCCATAAAAGTGTCTTCTGAGTCTTTGAAGGGCCCCCAAGTAAAGACACAGGTCTCGCTAGCTTTCCCTCAGCTACCAGGACATGCGATAACCGCATGGGCGCTCTGGGACTCCGGAGCCACAGCCACCTTTGTTCGAGCCGATGTCTTACAGGCGTTGGCCAGAAAGGGAAACACCTCCCTTAAATGGCCAGCGACCGGTGGGCGTAGTAATGCCACACTGGCTGACAATCTATCCCGAGTCCCACTGCGGGGGACTTGCTCTCTGGTGCTGACGACTCCCAAAGCTACAGCGACAATTACGGCCTACGTGGTTCATCACTTAAGCTTACCCTTGGTCATTGGTGTCCCAGCCCTTCAAGCCTTGAGGGTCAAGCTAGAATTTAGTCCACAGGGAAGAGTGAAGATCAGAACTGGTGACGTGGTAGACACTCACAGGAACCCGCACGAAGCTGGCTCAGCCCAGTCTACGAAAGCGATAAGGCCAAGGCCATCTGTAACCAAGGTATGTCCCATACATTTCGATTGGAGTCATGATGAGGAACTTACCATTCACACCCTCTCGGCTCCACCTGGCCAACTACGTCACCAAATAGAGCTCTCACGCATACAACCTTTACTAAATGTTATGGAGATCCAGAACGACGCCTTTTCAGAGTCCGAGTCAACGTCGGTCCCAGAGACGACAGTGACGCTTCCAAGAGAAGCGATACACATAGAGTCTACTCGGTCAGGGAGGCTGGTCGCGGACTTCACCTACAACAGTGATGTCGATTTTGAAGCACTGCAAGGAAAAGGTTGGAAAGCAGCTGTCAGTAGAGCTCAAAGATCGTCGTATGGCAAAACTCCCCAGCAGAAAGAGCTCATCAACGTCGCCATTGACAAGCTACTTTGCTCGGACTTTGTGGGCTACCTCAAGCTAAAAACTCTATCCCATCCCCCTCCCACACATAGCATTGCAAGACTATATGAATCTAGTGGCCGTATACAGCAAACCCATCTGGTACACGACCGTTACCTACAAGCCCATCCTCCGGTGTATATTCCTGCACAAGCAGTGTTTAAACAGACCTCTAGCACTACTCCATGTAGACTGGTATATGATATGCGCATGGTTAATAAGACCTTCACCCTACCTACGGTTAGCAGATGGAATCTATGGGACTTTCTGGCCCAAGTATGTGTAAGCCCTCTATGCAAGTTCATGGATGCGGAAAAGGCGTTCAACCAAGTATTACTAACCCCTAAATCAGCAGCTAGCTGCGCTACCGTATTGATGAAAACGAAGACACCACAGCTGTCAAGGCCCGAAGCCTATGTCGTGCTATGGACATCCATGCCCTTCGGGGCTGGACCCAGCCCTGGGGGACTGGAGGCAGCTACTGAGGTATGGATGGAAGAATCTAAGCAACTGTCGGCGACATTGGTTCCACCACAATCAACCAATTCTATCGCCTGGCCTAACTTCTACGACTTGGGTAGTTTCGACCACTGCAAACCTGTTCTACAGGATGCCTTCAGGCGTCTGCCAATCGACCCAACACAGCCATTCCAACTGTTGGACTATGTAGACGACTACGCTATCACCGGCGACTCTGTAGCGCAGGTCGATTGGCACTCAGCTCTTGCGGAGGGCGCTGCCGGCTACAGGGGGTTTCGCTTCCCAGTGGCTAAGAAATATCAATCGTGGGACACCGACAGCGACAATAAGCTCCTTGGCTATCATCTAAGGAATGATCTGCTTTCGCCTGTCTTCTCTGCCGAGCTGCTGCCGGAAAATAGCTGCTCACCAGTCACCAAGCGGGCGGTGAGTCATACTCTAGCCTCTCTCTATGATCCATTAGGGAGGTACATCGAGTACAGCATGAAGGGCCGCAGTTTATGGAGATCAGTGGTGGACTCGACCAGGGAGGACGAAGTACCTACAGCCCTTACTTGGAACAAGGCTGTTCCCAATGGCTTGGTTAAAGAAGTTAACCGCTGGGCTAAAGCAGTATCCGCCCTACCCCCAACGCCGAGGTTCATACCAGTGCGATGGAGATGTCCAACATCATCAAGCTATCATCACTGCCAATTATTGGTCTCTTGTGATGCCTCAAATATCGGTTGGTGTGTCGACGTGAGGTCCAAAGTCAACGGACTTCCTATTGGTCCAAGACTGTGTGGTCGTGGTGGTTTGTTCCCCCAGCGGAGGTCCTATCATCTTGATGGTAAGTCGACATCAACTCCAACGTCTACGGTACCGAGGCTTGAACTCCACAGTCTATTGCAAGCCGCTAAGGAACTCCTTCGACTATGCTCAGCGGTCAGACTTTCGCCCGCCAACAATACCACAGCCATCATTATGTCAGATAGTCTGATTAACATACAGAGGTTGTGTCGCATGAGCGATAAGTCTGAGACCGAGTTGATGAGCTGCATCGGCAAAAAGGGAAAGTGCAACTACTCCAGAAGCGATCTGGGGAAACTCCTTAAAATACGGCAGACTTTGAGGGAGGTACCCATACCGGTTACGCTGATACATCTTCCTTCGGCACTTAACCTAGCTGATGACGGTTCCCGATGCAGGGTTCCTTCGAGAGGCTCAGAGGAGATGGAGCTTCTAGAAGCAGTTCTTCAAGACCCGACCCGTCGCCCAAACTACGTTCCCGGCAAAACAAATTCGGATGACTCTCGTTCAGACGCGGACGATGTGGCCTACGACTATATCAAAGCTGATGAACCCGGTTCGGCGGCGCTGTGCGCCACTGCTCCGCAAGCAGGGCCCCTACCGACTCCATTCAACGATTCTCTAGGCCTTCCCATTCTATCAGAGTCAGATAGGGCGACAATTGACGATGCTATTGATGACTCCATCAAGAACGACGGGTTCTATAGTGCTGTCCGCTCCTACCTTAAGGATGGTACCGTCGCTGATGGGCATTCTCCTGCGAGGCTGAAACGTCAAGCTACCAATTTCGAGCTTGACGCGAATGGCAGACTCTTCAGAATAGTAAGGCAACGACCAGATGCTACGGTGGTTCGCCAGCGAGTTATTTCTGGCCATGCTCACAACATCATCGACAAGATTATTATCACTCGGCATCTTGAATGGCACCATCTGGGTCCCCAAAAACTGGCCATACGCCTATCCGACTCATTTTATTGGCCCAGGCAGCGTCGCACTGTTGCTAGAGCGCTCAGAAGTGTATACCTTGTCTGAAGAGCAATGCCGTCCGTCAGTTCAACTCCAGTGCTGGCTGTCACCACGTTGCGGATCTGCGTCCAGGCCAAGTTCAGGCGTGTGATATTTACCTGCCTAACGTAAGGGTCGATGGTGAACAGTCGGCCGCCGCTGTGCGAGTTACTGCTGTGCTCGTCATGACTGATCTTGCATCGGGCTTTCAAAGGCTACAGCCTATTTATGGATCTGTCACATCGTCCAATATCTGCTCGACTCTGGACCTTCTATTTACAAATGTTTACTATCCTACAGTACTCATCACGGACAATGCCAAGACCTTCGTCTCCGACCTAACGGCTCGATGGTGTCGAGATCGGTCCATATTACAGTTGGCTTGTCCGGTATATGCTCCGGCTTTGGCGTATTGGGAGAGATCTCACCGTGAATTGAGCCGGGCGTTGAAGGCCTGTCTATTTGACGATACCATGGTGGGAACTTGGTTTGATAAGTTGGTACAAGTCGCCAACCATCTCAATGATGCCCCCTATAACTCTGACTCGTGGCTCAGCCCCCGCTTGGTGGCTCACCCACATTACGACATTGACCACTTTTATAATGTGAATAACACATCAGTGAACGACCTCGCCAAGAAGCTGACTACTGTGAGCCAACCCACAGTTGCTGAGCGCGTCAGAGATAGTGGCAAGAAGATTTTCACCATACGCATGCTTGATTATCTCAACCACTGGACTACATTCAAGGAGGCTAGTAGGGCGAGAACTCTGGCTCACCATGGACGTCCGTGCGATCTCTCTGTTGGCGATACAGTTTTCCATCTTACGGGTCAATCATCCAAACTATCGTCCAGAGTGGCTGGTCCTTATATTGTTGACGCGGTTGACGAGAAGCACAAGGGTACGGTTATTATCCGGGGAGCTGACCAATCTACCTGTCGTGTGTGGGTATCTAATCTTGTCAAAGTACCGCCTCTGAAGTCAGACGGAAGTACATCTACCTCCATTCCAAGGCCTGACTTATCACCGGATGGCTACGCTTGGACGTTGGACCATCTACCTCCAGTACAAGTACTCCCCCCACCGAATTATCCTGGGAAAAGGTGAATCTCTGTCATTCAATTACCCGTCTTTGATGCCGATAAGCCCGCATTGGTGGTGAATCTTGTCCATCTTAGTCGTGGTGCACAATCGTGTCTTATCTTATCTTATCTATGTGACCAATCCATTTAAGTCCCTTGTTATGTCGTCCCACATAAGTATCCTCATTGAATTTTGATTATTGTAAAGGCTCTCTATGGCCATAAGTCGTTCTTGTTAGCAAGACTTATCCAGTATTGATGATAGTTGCTAGCCGCGGCCGGGAGAATTCAGTGTTCCACACTGAAAACCAGGTCGTTGAGAAGTCACAAGAATGCAAGTGGCGTCGCAACGTGTTTGCGTACACGTTCATCGAGATACATAGCCTTTTAACCACCCGTCTGTGGTATTGAGTTGCTGGCATCTTGCCGCATAGTCTCCGTGTCCTCATCTCAACAACATCTACACGGAATTTTACTACGGTAACATACGATGGTTCGACCCGTTGTAAGCCGACGCAGAAATAGCTAGTGACGCTGGGGCACCTTCAGAGTGTGTTATCAGCTCAGTATGGTGTATTTATGGCTTGTGTTTGGTAAACGTACGACTGCGCCCATGTGATCGATTCACACATACAACCCTGCCGTCTCTACGACGTGATTGTCTAAGCAGAGACGGATTAGGAAATCCCGTTCCCGCAATATGTTAGCTGGAGAGGCATTTTGGGAGTACCCATGCTGATGGACTTTTTGAGTTGAACAACTTTACATATAATCAAAGAATTTACATCCAGTGCGAAAAAATCGACCCTATTCTTGATCCTCCCCGTCGTCTGCTTTCTCAAGTATCGTGGATACGGAATAGCACTGTTACACTCTATTCCCTTGAATATTCTTCTCATGTGACGTATACGGCCAATTACAGCTGCTAACTAACCTGGTAGCAACTACTAGAGTGGTGACATCCATCATTATATGTCAAGTCGTGTTGTAGTCTCACCTCGTGAGTCGCTATCTCTAGCCCGTTCATAGCCACCATGACGTCGCATCGGAATAGGAACGTCAGTCGGAGGTCTATGACCAAGAACTGCTGGGCTGTGTATTATGCGTCGTTGCTCAGTGGATTGTGTTATTGTCTACTTAGCTCAGCTCTAGCTTTCCTCAACCCCTCCGACCTACCTCCACCACTCATCTCATATTTATTTCTATCAAACCATGTCTTCATCCAACAAGGCTCTCCAATACTGGCTTTCCTTAGATTTCTATAAGGCCACTCGTGATGAGGCTTCGTCCTTCTCTGAGGAGGATATCGCCGAGCACTTGAACCCCGAGAAGCGTTTGGTCTTCGGCACTGCTGGTCTCCGTTCTCGTATGGGTGCTGGTTTCGATCGTATGAACTGCCTCACTGTGATGCAGGCCTCTCAGGGTCTCTGCAGATACCTCGAGGGTCAGTTCGGTAAGGAGGCCCTTGCTGAGCGTGGTGTTGTCTTCGGCTTTGATGGTCGTTACAACTCCAGACGTTTTGCTCACGTTGCCGCCGCTGTATTCCTTTCCCAAGGCGCTAAGGTCTACTTGTACGACAAGGCTACTACTTGCACTCCATTCAACCCTTACTTGGTTAAGAAGTACAACTGCTGTGCTGGTGCCCAGGTTACTGCTTCTCATAACCCTAAGATGGATAACGGTTACAAGGTCTATGCTGCTAACGGTGCTCAGATCATCCCTCCTATGGACAGTGAGATTTCTGATTCTATTGCTAAGAATCTCGTACCTTGGAAGGAGGCTCTTGAGCTTCTGGATGTTGATGGAGAGTGTTACCTCAAGGACGCGTCTAAGATCATCGATCCTTATGATGATGTCCTTATGACTTACCTCGACCAGATGTATCATGAGCTTTGCCGTTTCCCCGAGGAGAACAAGAAGTGCACTTTGAAGTTCGCTTACACCGCTATGCATGGTGTCGGTCTTCCCTTCACCACTGGTCTGTTGAAGAGATTCAACATTCCGGAAGAGTGCGTTAAGGTCTTCGAGCCCCAGGCCCATCCTGATCCGGAGTTCCCTACTGTTCCGTTCCCCAACCCTGAGGAGAAGGGTGCTCTTAATCTGTGTCTAGCTTTCGCCAAGGAGAACAACTGTGATTATGTTATTGCTAATGATCCTGATTCTGATCGTTTCACAGCTTGTGAGAAGCAGAAGAACGGCGAGTGGCATCAGTTCAGTGGTGATGAGCTCGGAACCATCTTCGGAGATTTCTCGATCTTGATGGCACTCCGCAGTGGTGTCCCGGCCGAGAAGTGCTTGGTTCTCAATTCTACGGTATCTTCCAAGATGCTAGCTGCTGTCGCTAAATACTATGGTTGCCGTTATACCGATACCTTGACCGGTTTCAAGTGGCTTGCTAACACTTCCCTCAAGATGATCGAGGAGAACCCTGAGCTCGTCCATTGCCTTGCTTACGAGGAGGCTATCGGCTACGCTCTGACTATGGCTGTACCCGATAAGGATGGTGTCACTGCTGCCTCTGTGTGGGCTGAAATGGCCAACTACTGGCGTCGTGAGAAGGGTATTACTCTCTACGAGCGTCTTGAAGAACTCCGTCAGACTGTTGGTTACTTCGCCAACAATAACGGTTACTTCTTGTGCTACGACCTTAAGGTTATGAAGCAGATCTTTGACGATTTCCGTAACAACGGTGCTTACGCTAAGACTTTGGGTTCATCTACTATCGCTGGTATTCGTGATGTCACTCTTGGATATGATTCAAGAATGGATGACAAGAAGAGTGTTCTCCCTACTACTCCTGACCAGCAGATGATCACTCTCTACTTCGATAACAATGCCGTTGTTACTCTTCGCGGTTCTGGTACCGAGCCCAAGCTGAAGTACTACTGTGAGATGTCCGATAGGGAATCCGAGGAGAAGGCTGCGGCCAACTTGGATGTCGTGGTTAATGATGTCATTAACAACTTCTTGCAACCCGAGAAGAACGGTCTCGAGAGACGATAAATTAGGTTGTTTATCAATAGGATTCATTGGTTTATCGAATGCTCATCATACCCAGGGAGTCTGGGTGTGTTAGTGTTCTTCTCGTACCACCTGCTGAACTAAACTATCTAGCATCGTTACAGATATCATTGTTTATGATAATCTCTGCTAGGCTGAGAATTATCTAAATCATCATCTTATTACTACCTCGTTGTGAAGTAAATTCCACCAATATCTGGCTAAATTTATGTATCCAGTGCAGCCTTACTAGAGTTGTGTTTCCTAGTCAATAAAGCATTGCTCCTTTGCTTCAATTGTTGCGATGCAACACGAGTCAGCTAGGATTAGTATAGTCTGAACTCCTCGTGAAAGAACGCTTCGTCTTTTGGTGATTTTTTGACAGCTCGGTTATCCGGCGCACCATTGAGCTCAGTTACAAAATAGCAAAGGAGCAAATAGCAAAAAAGTGCCAATTAGCTGGAATGTATATTTCCTGCGGCTTTTGCTGTTGTGCTAGTGTGTAAAAACGCTATGGCTGATATACAGAAGAGCAAAGTAGCAAAATTCACTTTACAAACACGCAAATTTGCCGTTTTGTATAACAGAAACTGCTCGAATGAATATCGTTTGCTTGTTTATATTTCAGAAAATTGCTAGAATATATAAAAGTTGCCGCTATGTGAAGTGCTACTATGTAACAAAATTGAGCAATTTTGCTCAAAAAAGGGGCAAACCGATAAATTTCTCCTTCTACTATTGAGCAAATTGCTACTTTTCAGAGGAGCAATTTGCCGCTTTACGAATGGGCAACCCCGCAATGGAGCAAATTTTTGCTGTTCTACAATCGGAAGAAGAAACTGAAATTTCGCACGCGAGATTCGAACCTTGGTGGGTTGTAGGTGATTGTATTGAGCATTGCATTATAGTTTCGAAGTCTCTGAGTGGTGACTATTTTGCAAAGTTCTTTGGTTCTGTCGATATAGATAAGTATAGTTGCAGCACTGGGAGAATGATGGATGGACTATTGTAAGTGGTAGTAGGTCGTTAGTAAAGACTTACATTCGTTAAGGGCTCGTTGGATTTTCATATTTTCCACATCATTGCAGTTCGCA